AACTTGTGGCCCGTCCTGTTTGTGAGGTATTTGCCATCTGCCACATTGTTGAACCTGCCAGTTCGACTGCCCCTTCTGACCCTCGGCTCAGGTCCTGCTGAGGGTGGCTCCGGTGAGGCTGGAGAGGACGAGGTTGCACCGGCTCCCATTCTCCACGGAGCTGGTGTTGTCTCTCTCGGACGCAGTCCCGGCGGTGAAGTTCTTGCATCTCCTTCAACTGCCTCTGCAGTGTTGGTGATCCTTGTCAGGATCAGGAAGGAGGTCTCCACAACTTCTTCTCGCCAGAACTCTAGGTCCTCAACCGCCTTCGCCCAGACATAGCTCCATGGCCTCAATGGTTCATACCCCACAGGTGTGGGGTTGCCTGACGCCTTTGTCTGGTCATACTCCGCTTGTGCAATCCTCTTGAGCCTGGGCATGTGCTCCAACCTGCATCTCACTTCACCTTGGTATATGACACTCCAAACCTTCTCACCATACTTGTCACGCAAGCGTTCGATGAGTGACTTGTATCGTAGGAGATTTCCAAGGTCTACAGCATCCAGCATCACTAGGACATTTTGCAATACTGTGTAAGATGCAATCCAGTGAGATATATTGGCAGGGCCATGAAACTCCTGGCTCTTAACAGGTCCATCACGCCCCAGCATCACGCCTGAGAGCTTGACCTTCTTCATGATGCGCATACCATAGGGGCCGAAGATGGCAAAATCAACGTACGGCACGCTGCCCTGGTCCAGCAGATGCCGAACTGCAGTTATCTGTTCTGTAGTTGGTTCACTCTCCTTTGGGGGGCGTTCGCCCTTTCCGTAGACGACCTCATATCTTGCAAAGGCCTTCAGGATCTCCTTCTCTTCGTCCAACAAGATCTCTGTGTCGTCGATCTGTGAGATCACACTGCTGAGCTTTATCTTCCTCCCAGCAGCAGCAGTGCTCGGGCTTGTTGGTCCTGGTGAAGCCGATGTCATGGCCGATGCCTTCCTTTTGAGGTCCTCTATAGTTTCACCGTTGCCAGCGACGATCCTGCATACGTGGCCAATCAGTTTGGCCTGTCCCAGCTCTGTCAACGTCGGCTGCCTCGCGGCACCACCAGCAGCAGGGATCTTCCATCCTTTGACTGCTGTGTCATAGTCTGCCTCCGACAAAATGCCCAGAGCTGCTGGCTTCGTGTCTGGCTTGGCTCCTAGGAGAGATGCCAGCGATCCAGCCACCGTTTTGTCGTCTACCAGATGTGTCTCATCCAATCCGGCGAAGGTGAAAACCTCACGCATGCCAAGCATCTTCTTTCGTTCTTCTTCAGTCGGTTCCTCTGATGCTAACTTCGAACCCTGAAGGCAGCTGGATGCTCAGTCGTCTGGTTCCGCACGACCTGCACGCTCTTCGAATGCAGCACCAGCACGTGGTGATGATCACCACGATCAAGGCCACGAGCAGTTCAACCAAATGGCTGGAACCCACCGCGGCCGTTGCGAGGCTCCCCACCGGCCGGTGGGTGCCAGACTCATGCACCCCTTCCACCACCAATGACTTGTCGGTGCAAGAAAAGTGGAAGGGTGTGGTCCTTGAGCCAAAATGTCAAGGACCACACAAACACGACTGCATGTTCCATACACAACTAGTTGTTCCTTCCCAAAATGTCCAACGGGCCAAGGTCCGAGGCGATCCACTGCAGCGCCAGGCGGTCCAAGCGCGCCGCAGAGGCATGGTATCGCTGCCACGCGACAGCTGGCCCAAGTCCCTCTTGAACCAGCAAGCAGCGGCGGTTCCACACGCCAACCCATGGGAACTGGAAGCCGCCCCGACGGTCGGTGCACCTCGCACAAGGGATGTTAGTGCATACGAACCGACGAACCGGGGGGAGCCCTGCGATGGAGAGGGGCTGCCCTGGAGACCCCAAGTGCACCAGCTCCACCACAGAGGCCCAGAGGCGCAATGCGTCCCGCTCACGCCCCTCACCCAGCATCTCCTGAAGACGCGGCGGCATGGATCACCTGGTACCTGGTGTGGGCCGCAAGGCTGGTTCCCAATTCGCTCATGGGAAAACAGGGTCCCTCCCTGCACAAAAAAAAGAAACTGTCTCTCCAAGGGTTCCGCCCTCAAAAAGAGAGAACAAACGCTATTTTGGCCAAGGCACTTGAGCCAAAACATTCGTTGGTTCAAACCTATGGCAGTAATGAATGCATGTTCACCCAAGCCTGCCAGACCTGAAACATGTTTAGAATCCCCACAAAAACGTGGTTTCACAGGCATGTTGAATGGGTTTCCCACACAAACTGTATTTGTGTTCAAACTAAGGTTGCCGACGATGTGTGTTTCATGTTTTTTGCATCGTTGCATCCTGGTTACATATACAGTATGAGGATTGTGTTTGTTTTCGCGGTATGCCCAATCCTTTCAATTGCTGTCATCAAATTTTGAAGATGCCACCGGACCAGGTTGCCATCGATGTCACAACATTATCATCGCCTTCATCAAGAGTTGTGATCCAATGGGGTGGGTGGGGTGGGGGAGCCTCAGTAGAGTAGAGTTTTGTTCGGTTGCACGACTTGTTTTTGGTTTCACAAGGTGAAACTGTACAACATCTTCATCGGTTGGGCAACATGTGCTTTCAACGTTGTCATAAGCCTCGCCTCAGAAGGGGGAAACGAAAGCCAATAAAGACCAGGAGGGAAGCGAAATCATGTAAAGGCGAAGCCGGGGCCTCCGCGCCATGGGTGGAAGTGAACAAGCCACCGTGAACAAAAAGCGCCGGTTAGCAACCCCACGCAATGCACAAGTGCACTGAAAAGCAGTTGGCTAGCACAGCCCAATCTCCACCTGTGACCCCTTGTATGAGTTACACCCCCATGATTTACAAACTCCACTCCACGGTAAAAACCACCAGCCCACTCATGAAATTGTAAGATGCACTCCCCCGTTAAAACTGCACGCCCCATCGGATACACATCTCCGAACAAGAAAAACGCAACATGCCCGTGTATGTGACGATCGTGCGATACATTGCCACCGCAGGTGAAGCTCTTCGAAGCAACGAAGCTCCTTGCTTAGACATCAACTCTTCTCTGTCCACAGCCGCGGCTAACACGCCTACATTTGCAAACGGTTGCCGTTTATTTGTACAAACAATTGCCTCATTTTAGTCCCTACCTGTCAGGTGAGGGTTGTTAGATTCTATGTCAGCTGCCGTCCTCCTCCTCCTCCTCGTCCTCCGCCTCCTCCTCGCAGTGTTCCCCGCCGGACCTCAACCGCCACTGCCGGCAGCAAGTCTAAGTCTAAGTTATTCTTGCCGTAGCCGTATCCATGTCGTGAGCTGCTGAAACACATGGTAAAACAAGGTAACATGGTCCTTCGGGGTCTTGGAAATCATCAACCCTTTCATGGTTCTTGAGGAAGGGAAAAAGATAAAAAAAATGTTATGTGTCCAATCGTTAAACATGGAGCATCTTTTGCTCACACTGCGGTGTTATATATGTCCCCAGACAAACTTGTAGAGTCTGTTCCACAGACGTCCATTGCGCATCTACCCTACTAAGTGGGCTTCAAAGGCTCTTCATCCAATCTAGAAATCTGGTGTCGGTCTTCAAAGAGAACCACCCTGTCCAAAAGAGAAATCCCACGAGGTCGCCTGAAAACCAGAGGGTCTGGACCAATTCACCCAGGGAGCGGTTTTATAACAACACAGTCTGGTGCAACGAACTCGATCACACTGTCCCGACGACGACTCATAACTTCAATGTATTGGTCCAAGGTCGCGAAGTGGATGGGCAACGACCATGCTTCACTGAAAAGAACCTTCAAAACCCTCAAGCCTTGTTTTGTCAGGGGTCAAGGTGAAAAGGTACAGTTCATAGACGCAATCCTGCAGCAATTGACATCTACCCAATGGCAAATCATGGGCGTTCAGGCAGAGGATTGCATCCATGAAAGGTAGTAAGACAGGTTTCTCATGGCTTTTCTGCATGAATACAAGGTGCATCATGGATGTGGACGATGTTCTGGTGCTGTAGCCTCTGAAGAAGGCGCACCTCCTCGTTTCCACGCGAACTCTTCGTCCGAATTAGCTTCCACGCAAAGCGCCGACCGGAAAGGCCCTTCTCCTGAACCTCCTGTCAGACGGGCAGACGGGCACCACCCACCGCCACACGTCACACGAACGTCCATCGAAACGGAGAGCTGCCGACCCACAAAACGCCCGGCCCACTTTGAGTCACCAAAAAGGACACACGACTCGGGCGCGGAGATGCCAAAGGGACACGTCTTCCACAGACGAAAACGTCTTCGAATGCAGCTGCCGAACGCAGCTCATTTCATACACCCGTCCTTCACTTGTGCATACTTCCCCTCACCAAGTGACTTGATGATGGTGAAATTCTCATCCACCTCCCGCGCACATTCGTGCTTTGTAGGCCCCATGTCTTTGGTTGGCATACTCCGCACAAAAGGCTTGAGCCAGAGATGACACACAAAGGCAAAAAAATACATGTATTTGTTCCGCAGCCCGCCATCTCATCCCATCGCTTCAACAAGCAGGACCCGTCCAAACCTGGGGGCTACCTTTCGTGACCTCAAAGCATTCGTGTGACATCGATGTTCTCACTTTTCCACCTGGGTGGACTCTGGAGAAAGTTTAGTTCGCCTCGGATTGGCGAAGTGCATGAGGAATCGGATGGTCCAATCCATTGGTCGACGCCAGTGGTTCGGACATATCACAAGTCTGCTGTGAGATCTACTCACTGCCCGGTTGACACGTTGAGCTACGCACGGGGGTTGCACTGAAAGTCTTCACAGAAGTCTTCACGTCACTCTGCCTCTGCCGAGTTCTGGGCGTACCGGGTACGTACCGAATTCTGCAACGAACTAAGTGGATCAAGTGCCGATGGGGCGAGCGGCTGGAGCCCGTTGGCAGAAACCGGTCCTTTGTTGCCTCCTCACCGACCAAGCCAGCGAGTTTGAGGCCAACCTTGACCAACACCACACGCCGCGGAGGGACGCGTCCCGGCCTCATCTCTTGCACCTTGGCATCGAGGCGGCTCAAGTTCCGCAGCATGGCCAAGGACTTCCCAAGCCTCCAAACCCAACGGTGACCGCGCGGCCGGCCGTGGAAACCGCGTCGTGACCGGTTCGACGTGCGGGAAAAAGCGGCGCCACCTGGTGGACGGGTATTTCCCCCAAGACCGGAAAATGTAGGCAAGAGATGGCAAGAGGCTCAGAGACTCATGGTCCAAGAAAGCGCTTGTTTTGCCCAAGAGGCTAAGTCTATCTGAGTCTCAGTATGTATCAAACCAATCTCATTTGTTGGATGAAAAGGTGTGCCTTGTGAGGTGAACGATGATCTGATCGTGGGACCTTCTTGCGATGCTTTTCTCTACAGTAGATACCGCTTTTGGATACTTCTCTCTAGAAAACTCTTCTGATGGATGTGTACTTGCCTGTAGGTATCTTCTACTGTTGGATACTTTTCCTCAAGAAATCTGCCCAAAATTTCAACCTTTGCCCTAATACCCTCTGCTTATCTCCAGAGCGTTCGCTCTCAACCTTCCACAGCGGTCCGCGTTCGCCACCCGGCCCGCACCACCGCTGAAAAACAGACCCGGCACTTGGGACGGAGCCCAGGTGATTGCTCTTTTGACCATACGCGACTCAGGATCAAGCACCAGGCCAACTGCAAGATTTCGTGACTCTTAATTGGTTTCTTCGAAACCTCTCTTGAGAGGTATTGGTGACATGGGCACCTAGTCGAAATACAGCTGAAAAGCTTCAATGGCTAAAATATTCCAAAACCTGGGGCCACTTGTTTGGCACTGGTCAAAACCATCTGGACACCATCTGGACTCTGGACTCTGGAAACCAGTGCATCGCGGTGTTTGGCCGTGCTTTCGAACCGGCCTCCCCTCGGAGATTTCCACCTCCCCAAACAACTGCTCCTTCAGCTCTCGAAACTCCACCTCGCTTGACCCAACACGAGGAGCGAATCCGTCAAGTGACGACGGTGAACAAAGCGGTCAAGGTATATAATGGGGACTCAGGTTCTGCCAAAGGAAACCACGAACAAGGTACACCTGCTTCTGCCTTTTGAAACCCACTACAGCAAAAACACTTCCCTAAAGCTTCGTCCGTCCCTTGAAACGCGCTGGAGAATTCATTGACTTTGGGCATAAGCTTTTGACCTACAAGGTACCATTCAGGCGTTTTCTCAGGCAAAAAGAGAACGCCTGGAGTTTGATCTGGAGAACGCAGCAGTGTCACACTTGTGTAAAAGCTGTTTGGCATTTTGAGCTTCATGCTTCTTGAACAGCTGGGGCAGCTGTTGCGACGCTGTGGGCGAACTGCGAACTCGGCGCACCTTGAGCACCTCCAGCTCCGCGGCGTCAATGGTCATCGTCAAGGACGAGGTGGTGTTGGCACCTGAGGACCACCCGACTTGGCTCGCCACAGGGCCATCTGGGGGGACTGGCCCGCGGCTGGGGGAGGTGCCAATCACTGGTGTCCAGCACGTTCATGGGTTCAATGAAATCTGCGATGGAGGATGCTATTAGGTGGAGGCCATGGCAAGTAGGTTGGAGGCCATCGCTACGAACGTAACAAGAAGCTACTAGGTTGGGGCTTAAAACACAGTGCTTCCAAGGAGCCAAAGAGCTGGAAATTGAATTGCAAGCCCTCCAGCAATTTGCCCAGGACGTACAAGAGGAAGGCTGAGGATGGGTGAGTCTCATCCCAAGAAGGGGGTTCATGGAGGTTCTTGGGAATCTGTAAGCTACCAAGCAGAATGCATAGAACCTCTACAGTACCTAAGTACCTCCCACACGCCCCTACAGAACTGCCCTTGTCTCCCTCAAATTATATATATAATAACCAATGAATAAAGTAACTACGTAACTTTAATACTTTAATATTGAACTATAACATACTCCCTACATCCCCCTACATCCTATGATGTTCCACCTGACTCTCCTGTCCAAAGCCAGTTCCATCCCAGAACCCCTTCCCCTCCCCTACCTGCAGCCAGGACCACCAGGGGAATCCAAAGGTTCTGAAAGACCGAGGCCAACAGCCACAGTGACGGAAGCACCACCACTGCCTCAGGTCGCAGATTGGTCATCGAACGAGAAGGACTGCAACATCCCGCAACCAGAGCGTGACCACTGTGACGCAGCAACAAAAAGTTAGAGAGCGGTGTGTGCCTGGGAGAGCGCACACACACACACACACTAGCAAAAACACTGTAAATGCCATGCAAATGTTGAAAATACGCTCTGAAACCTAGGCGAACCGCATATGTGTCCATCTTCCTGCGCCCTATCTCCATGTGCAATGTCAATGACAACAATTAACAGCTCGATCGACAGTAACAAATCGCAATTAAAAGGCTGGAGCAGAACTCGTGGTTGAATCATGAGCAAATAATATGCCTTTCTTTTTAAGACGCACACCACCATGTGTGCAAGTTTGCCTTCTAAAGCAAAACGTGAAAACAACCGGATGGCAATGGTAGCGACACGACCGGACGCGCGAGGCGCAAGGTGCTATCAGGATCAAGTTGACACTCCACATGCGTCCGCCTCAATGGAGACCGCACGGCGTGTTCCTGCAGGCCTCAACAAATCGTTGAAGGGATCACGCGGAGCGAACTCTTTCGCGGATTCGTGTGTTTCACCCATCAGCTTCTGCAGAAAGGTGCATCGCTACTAGTAACACAAGAAGCTAGTATATAGTTCCATGGTTTCGCTGTTGTTCGGCTTTCCAAAGCCGTGTCGCCTGTCTCAGACTGCCCATGGTTGTTACGCGCATGAATGCAGGATTCACAATCCAAAAGTCTTGGCTCTGGGGATGTCTTAGTGACCTCCGTTGGGATCTACTGGCTATCTCTAGGCTCTCGAGACTCCTCTAAAACCCCAGTTTCTCGCAAGACTCAATCTGTTTTGTGGGCATGTTTGGAGACCCCCTCAACGACTGGGTTTGAAGTGTCCTTTCATGAGGGGTTCTTACTGCAATATACACACCCGCATCTATCAGTGGGCTCATGCACGCCACTGGCCTCTGCACTGCTGCGTTGCAGTTGTTACATTCTCGTGAGCCACATGGCTCACAAAACACAGAGGCGGTGTCGATTCTCTGCCTTGGCTCCTCCCACGCGATTCGTGGGGAGATCCTGCCCTCTTCGAGCCAAATCGGTCGCGATCTGCTGGTTCCACCGAGGCTTGGTCGCTTGCGGCGTTTTCAGTGGTGAGTCGAAAAGCTGGGTCCCGAGCAGTCGGGGGTCCCACGACCACCGGCAATCCCAAAGAAAGGGGTCCCGATCGCTCCGCTGGGCAACTTCGGGTTGCAAAGGGTGGATCTGACCATATTTGACCTATTAAATGCAAGCTTGGTTTTGATCCTTCAGCAAAACTCCTCTCAGGGCCAGACCCCTCTGCCACTCGCCTGCAAAAGGAAGGTGCTTCCCCATCCGTGGCCCAAGGAGTTTCATATCATGTATATGCACAGCAGTTGGAGCGTTCTTCGTTCATCCACCATGGCATTCCCTAATGGACACCGTCCCAAGCGAACAAAAGTATCCAAAGATATTTTTCAGGGAGACTTCTTTGTGATGTTCGAGGTCCACCCCTTGAATAGAGTGGGAGGTGCAGCATGCCGACTGGAGCATGTACGACGTGTTGTCTTTGTGCCCTGACTGGCAAGGCAAAGCCGCGGCCCCTTCGCTGATCTGGCTCAGAAAGTGATATCTTGCTTGCTCCAAGAAGGAGGGTTCGCTGGTTCCAGCCCTATAACCGTAACCGCTCCGAAAAAATAGGTTGGAGGCCATCACTACTAGGGTGGAGGCCATCACTACTAGGGTGAAGGCCCATCGCTACTAGGGTGGAGGCCCATCGCTACTAGGGTGGAAGCCATTGCTATTAAGGTTTCCCTCCGCCATGATAAGAAAGACTGGGACCGCACGGTATGCGCTGCCATATGCGCCCCGCGCCCGAAAATGGTGTGCTTCTCATCCAGCGGCTCCACCGTCTTCCGCAGCGTGATCTGGTCACAAGGACAAGAACCCGACCCAGGACCTTGATGCATTAGAAACCTGGTTGCCCAATCGGCAGGGCACCCACCCTAGCGTTTCCACTTCAAATACAGTATATGCTTCTAAATGATATAGCCTGCTTATATTAGCTTCTATTCTAGTCTCTCGGTGCCACCAAGTCAATGAGCAACGGCAGCTGCAACCCTCTCTGCTGTGTTTCAGCAGCTGCATGGCCTTGAATCTCTTCCAGTTGGATCCATGGATGGTTTGGACGTTCTTCCTTCGCACCAGCCCCATGCACCCACACCAGCCCAAGGCAAAAGGCACCAGAAGTGGGATCCCCCACGTAGAATTGTGAGCCATTCTCGTTGGGCTTCTCCTGGGCAGTCTCCCAGCTTCGGGCTGATGCTCTTTTGCACTTTCACCGGTGGATTGGCATCGCTCTTCCCATGTCAAGAATGGAAAAGTGGCCGTCCAGTGGCCGTCAGTGTTTCGGTGCCCCTCTGAGGTTTCGGCGTTGGCCATCCCCACAGTACCACGCACCTGAGAGCGATGCGTGACGCGGGCCACTCGAGTCACGTCCCCAGCAGGTCGGACTTGCGGCCTGCATGGTTGGTGTGCTCAGCTCAGAGACAAGCCCTGTTGACTCGCTTCACATCAACGCGTTGACTCTGTTCAACTTGAACCCACAAAAAAGGACTGTCCAAAGTACTCCTGCGAGTAAAGAAGGACCCCAAGCTTCTAAAGTAGAATCAATGAAACGTTTCACACCAAACACTGGTGTTCTGTCAGAAGGTGCCTCGCTCTTCAGGTGGAAACACCACCTGTGGTTCTCCATCCAATAGCATCCACCAACAGGACCGAACCAAGGGCCAAACACTGTGCTTGAGCTTGGGATGGATCTCATCCTGGAGCGGTTGCTAGCTTGTGCCGCAGTTGATCCAAAAAGAACAACAACAAATCTGGAAAACCATGTTTTTGTTGGATTTTGGAACAACCCAGCCAATCCGGGGACTGTCTGCACAATCTAAGCACGTTTTAAGGAACTCAAAGCTTTGTTATCTTCGTTCCAGAAGATTCTGGGATTTGTGTGTCCACCCTACCCAATTCACGATCCTGCGTATTGAGTACGATACTTGATCTTTGCAGATGAAAAAGGTGTGTCTCTGCTCTTCCATTGACGAAGCATGAAAAGGAAAAGGCACTATCAGCAAAGAGGAAGCTGGTAGCGCCTTCAAAGGCAGGCCGATACTTTTTTTCGTGTCAACTTGCGTATTCAGACTGGAGTCGTGGGCTGAGATCGGCTTTCACCTTCACGGAACCCGCTAAGCATGTCTATCATGAAGCAGGAGTGCTATTTCTAGAACAGATTTGAGACAGGGTTGAACTATCAACGTTCTGGGGAGGTAAGAGTACCAGCATGCGCTATGTTTTTGTGTTTTTTGAAGGGGACCCTCACCTCCAGCACTGTTTTTCACTTTTGTGGCACAGCCTGGAGAGGCTTTGTGGATACTTCTAGGTCATTTTTGTTCCCGGTCCCGCGTTTAGCCAACTTCAGTGTTTCAAGTCGACCAGCAGCACTTGGCGGTTTTCTTCGGCTCAGTGAGGCTGTCATCAGAATCGGATGAGTGAAGAGCTTTGGGGAAGCGAAGGCGCCAACAATGGGTTGTTGGCTTTGCACAGCCCCCCGGAGCGCTCACTTACACATCAACAATTTGTTCACTTGCGCATCGACTCTCACTTACGCCTCACTTACACATCGATTTGAAGCTCACTTACGCATCGATGGCTATAGCATCACATCTGACATCTGCGCGCAACCGATACACACAGTTCTCTGTGTCCACGGATGTCTCCGTGATCTGAGGATTGCCATTGACAACCAACGCATCACTGTAAGCCCGACGCACAAGCGAGAAAAATGGCGGCGCATAAGCGAGAAAAAAAACAACGCAAAAGCGATACCTCGCCCCCCCAAGAGTTCACACCAACCAGTCATGTTCAGTAACGCTTTTTATGGCCTAGGCCTAGAACTATGCTTTACAGCTGGATGGCTTCAATGCAAAGTCCGCAAAGGTCACTCCAAACACGGAGAGAGAGAGAGAGAGAGAGAGAGAAAGCAAAGAGGGATCAAAAAAGAAAATAACACCAACCAAGTATACGTACTGTTGCGCAAGATGACACTAGCACACGGACAACATTCTCGCGAATCCAAGGAACACGGCTGATGAAGAAAAATCCATGCATGCCATTCATGCGCTCACTCCAACCAGCCGATGTGTCGTGGTACATGTCCGTGCATCTCAAGTCCCTATTTCGGAATCATAATGTAATGTAGACCTATGAAGAGAAGTCAGACCATTCTGGTTGGGGAGTTCTAGTATTCAACAGTCTACATTGTTGAGCTCTGACCATTCTGTGCTGATGCTGGCCGCAGGGGCTGTCTTCCACGCACCGCACAAAAAGACAAGCAACTACATCGCATCACTGATACCCTGGCAACGCCCGAACCAGGAACAACATCTACTACTACAACTATAACTACAACTACTACTACTACTACTACCACCACCACCATCACCACCACTACTACCACGACTACTACCACTACTACCACTACTACCACTACTACCACCACTACCACCACTACCGCCACTACCACCACTAGCACCACCACCAGCACCAATACTACCACTACTACCACTACCACTACTACTACTACTACTACTACTACCACTACGACTACGACTACGACTACGACTACTTCTACTACTACTGCTACTACTACTGCTACTACTACTACTACTTCTACTACTACGTCTTCTATGTCTACTACGTCTCTAAGTCTCAACTGCGTTTTCTACGTCTGCATATTCATCTTCATCTTCTCCTTCTCCTTCTTCTTCTTCTTCTTCTTCTTCTTCTTCTTCTTCTTCCAACGCTGAGAAAGGTAAGTCTCTCGCCACACCATCAGAACAACAAGAACAACTCTCCACTCTCCACCACAATCCTTGAAATATCGATGTCCCAGACCAGGCAGCTTGGCATGAACACAGCATCCGCCTGGCAGACTCGTCGCACTGTCAGCATGACCAAACCAAAAAGCACAGGTGCGGACCGGTCGCCGGCACAGAACGTGAACTGCCTTAGAAGTTGCTTGTGAGGATCACAATTCAGGTGGGGGGGCATGGCACCATGTGTTTTTGCAGTTCCCATCTCATATGGGTGTGGATAAAAATCCGCATCCCACAAACCATGGCGAGTGGACATGGTCACATCCTCTTCAGAATCTCATGGCTTTCCCGGATCTTTTGCCTCCTCGACTCGACTCGGCTCGACTCGACTCGGCTCGAGGACCCACCTCGCCCGGTATTGGTGGGGTCGCCAGTTCGGGCGATGTAGTCCTTCTCCACCTGGCAGACCGGTCGCGGACACGACGGGACGGAGCCAGTACAAACATCGCACCGATGTATCATCCCAAAGGGCTGGTGTGTCAAGCAGAAAGAAAGACAACATTGGATAAAACGTTGATGCAAAAACGGAA